CACACCTCACGTTCTCGCATGGATACCTGGAACTCGGTAAACACATCACGTTCTCACATTGATACCTGGAACTCGATACACACCTCACATTCTCGCATTGATACCTGGAAGTCGATACACACATCATGTTCTGACATTGATACCTAGAACTCGGTACTCACCTCACGTTGTCGCATTGATACCTGGAACTCGGTAAACACATCACATTCTCGCATAGATACCTTGAACTGGATACACACATCATGTTCTCACATTGATACCTGAAACTCGATACACACATCACCTTGTCGCATTGATACCTGGAACTCGATACACACATCATGTTCTCGCATGGATACCTGGACCTCGATACACACCTCACGTTGTCGCATTGATACCTTGAACTCGATACACACCTGACGTTGTCACATTGATACCTGGAACTCGGTACACACATCCCGTTCTCGCATAGATACCCTGAACTCGATACACGCATCACATTCTCACATTGATACCCGGAACTTTGTACACACCTCACGTTGTCGCATTGATACCTGGAACTCAATACACACATCACGTTGTCACATTGATACCTGGAACTCGATCCACACATCACGTACTCATATTGATACCTGGAACTCTGTACACACATCACGTTGTCACATTGATACCTGGAACTCGATACACACATCACGTTCTCGCATTGCTACCTGGAACTAGATACACACATCACGTTCTCACATTGATACCTGGAACTCGATACACACCTCACGTTGTCACATTGATACCTGGAACTCGATACACACATCACGTTCTCGCATTGATACCTGAAACTCGATACACACATCACGTTGTCACATTGATACCTGGAACTCGATACACACCTCACGTTGTTCCATTAATACCTGGAACTCGATACACACCTCACGTTGTCGCATTGATACCTGGAACTCGATACACGCCTCACATTCTCGCATACATACCTGGAATTGGATACACACCTCACGTTCTGACATTGATACCTAGAACTCGGTACTCACCTCACGTTGTCGCATTGATACCTTGAACTGGATACACACATCATGTTCTCACATTGATACCTGAAACTCGATTCACACATCACCTTGTCGCATTGATACCTGGAACTCGATACACACATCATGTTCTCGCATGGATACCTGGACCTCGATACACACCTCACGTTGTCGCATTGATACCTTGAACTCGATACACACCTGACGTTGTCACATTGATACCTGGAACTCGGTACACACATCCCGTTCTCGCATAGATACCCTGAACTCGATACACGCATCACATTCTCACATTGATACCCGGAACTTTGTACACACCTCACGTTGTCGCATTGATACCTGGAACTCAATACACACATCACGTTGTCACATTGATACCTGGAACTCGATACACACATCATGTTCTCGCATTGCTACCTGGAACTAGATACACACATCACGTTCTCACATTGATACCTGGAACTCGATACACACATCACGTTCTCACATTGATACCTGGAACTCGATACACACATCACGTTGTCACATTGATGCCTGGAACTCGATACACACATCACGTTCTCGCATAGATACCTGGAACTCGATACACACATCACGTTCTCACATTGATACCTGGAACTGGATACACACATCACGTTATCACATTGATACCTGGAACTCGATACACACATCACGTTCTCACATTGATACCTGGAACTCGGTACACACATCACGTTGTCGCATTGATACCTGGAACTCGATACACACATCACATTGTCGCATTGATACCTGGAACTTGGCACACACCTCACGTTGTCGCATTGATACCTGGAACTCAATACACACATCACGTTCTCACATTGATACCTGGAACTCGATACACACATCACGTTCTCGCATTGCTACCTGGAACTAGATACACACATCACGTTCTCACATTGATACCTGGAACTCGATACACACATCACGTTCTCACATTGATACCTGGAACTCGATACACACATCACGTTGTCACATTGATGCCTGGAACTCGATACACACATCACGTTCTCGCATAGATACCTGGAACTCGATACACACATCACGTTCTCACATTGATACCTGGAACTCGATACACACATCACGTTATCACATTGATACCTGGAACTCGATACACACATCACGTTCTCACATTGATACCTGGAACTCGGTACACACATCACGTTGTCGCATTGATACCTGGAACTCGATACACACATCACATTGTCGCATTGATACCTGGAACTTGGCACACACCTCACGTTGTCGCATTGATACCTGGAACTCAATACACACATCACGTTCTCACATTGATACCTGGAACTCTGTACACACATCACGTTCACACATTGATACCTGGAACTCGATACACACATCACGTTGTCGCATTGATACCTGGAACTCTGTACACACATCACGTTCTCACATTGATACCTGGAACTCCATACACACATCACATTCTCGCATTGATACCTGGAAGTCGATACACACATGTTCTCAAATTGATACCTGAAACTCGATACACACATCACGTTGTCACATTGATACCTGGAACTCGATACACACCTCACGTTGTTCCATTAATACCTGGAACTCGATACACACCTCACGTTGTCGCATTGATACCTGGAACTCGATACACACATCACGTTCTCACATTGATACCTGGAACTCGGTACACACCTCACGTTGTCGCATTGATACCTGGAACTCAGTACACACCTCACATTCTCGCATACATACCTGGAATTGGATACACACCTCACGTTCTGACATTGATACCTAGAACTCGGTACTCACCTCACGTTGTCGCATTGATACCTGGAACTCGGTAAACACATCACATTCTCGCATAGCTACCTTGAACTGGATACACACATCATGTTCTCACATTGATACCTGAAACTCGATACACACATCACCTTGTCGCATTGATACCTGGAACTCGATACACACATCATGTTCTCGCATGGATACCTGGACCTCGATACACACCTCACGTTGTCGCATTGATACCTTGAACTCGATACACACCTGACGTTGTCACATTGATACCTGGAACTCGGTACACACATCCCGTTCTCGCATAGATACCCTGAACTCGATACACGCATCACATTCTCACATTGATACCCGGAACTTTGTACACACCTCACGTTGTCGCATTGATACCTGGAACTCAATACACACATCACGTTGTCACATTGATACCTGGAACTCGATCCACACATCACGTACTCATATTGATACCTGGAACTCTGTACACACATCACGTTGTCACATTGATACCTGGAACTCGATCCACACATCACGTTCTCGCATTGCTACCTGGAACTAGATACACACATCACGTTCTCACATTGATACCTGGAACTCGATACACACATCACGTTCTCACATTGATACCTGGAACTCGATACACACATCACGTTGTCACATTGATGCCTGGAACTCGATACACACATCACGTTCTCGCATAGATACCTGGAACTCGATACACACATCACGTTCTCACATTGATACCTGGAACTGGATACACACATCACGTTATCACATTGATACCTGGAACTCGATACACACATCACGTTCTCACATTGATACCTGGAACTCGGTACACACATCACGTTGTCGCATTGATACCTGGAACTCGATACACACATCACATTGTCGCATTGATACCTGGAACTTGGTACACACCTCACGTTGTCGCATTGATACCTGGAACTCAATACACACATCACGTTCTCACATTGATACCTGGAACTCTGTACACACATCACGTTCACACATTGATACCTGGAACTCGATACACACATCACGTTCACACATTGATACCTGGAACTCGATACACACATCACGTTGTCACATTGATACCTGGAACTCGATACACACATCACGTTGACACATTGATACCTGGAACTCGATACACACCTCACGTTGTTCCATGAATACCTGGAACTCGATACACACCTCACGTTGTCGCATTGATACCTGGAAGTCGATACACACATCATGTTCTCAAATTGATACCTGAAACTCGATACACACATCACGTTGTCACATTGATACCTGGAACTCGATACACACCTCACGTTGTTCCATTAATACCTGGAACTCGATACACACCTCACGTTGTCGCATTGATACCTGGAAGTCGATACACACATCATGTTCTCAAATTGATACCTGAAACTCGATACACACATCACGTTGTCACATTGATACCTGGAACTCGATACACACCTCACGTTGTTCCATTAATACCTGGAACTCGATACACACCTCACGTTGTCGCATTGATACCTGGAACTCGATACACACATTGTTTCGCAGTGGAAGACTAAACTAAACTAAACTAAACTAAACATGAACTTACCTTGCAATCAACTAAACGTGAAATCCCCTTATAATCAACTAAACGTGAAATCCCCTTGTAATGTAATGAACAATGAAAATGTGATAAGATCAAATGAAATGGATTTGAAACTAAAAGTGAAGTTGCCGTATGGTAACTATGTAAATGGGTAACTCTCTCAACTATTTCTATTCTAGTCTATTCTATTTCTGTAATATTCTAATTCACTATTTGCTAACTTAGAGAGAGATATCCATTTACTCCTTACCCATATGAATGCCAGAAGCCAACTGAAATAAACTGTTTCTAGAGCATGCGCATTTTGCGCTCATCCAGCAAGAAGCACGTGCTGCATGCCAACTTTAACGCTTTCCGCGAAGCTGTTGTGTACCAATGAGTCAACCACTATGTCCAGGAACATGAGATTGTTCCCGGACACTTGTTCCCGGACAATTGTTCCCGGACGCTTCAGAACATGCCCCCTTCCATGATAGACCCCTGTCTATCATCTATTTGGAACAATACTTCATCAATACCATGCAGTTGATAAACTACAAAAAACCCAACTTATTTACAACAATGACTAGTCCATGAAACCTGCAGCACTATTTACAACCTTGAACAAATGGTTCTTGTCAGTCTCGATATTCGAGAGGACAGATCTTTGTAACTGGTCGAGTCAATCTCGACCCTCTAACTTTAACATCTACAACTCTAACATGGCCATCTTTGCCTGGGTAAGTTTTCAATATCCTTCCCATTGGCCAAGTTCCTCTTGGATTATCTTGTGATACGACAATCACCACATCATCAACTTGGAAGTCTCTTGATGACGTGATCCACTTTTTTCTGACATTCAACGTTGGAAGCCACTCTCTCATCCATCTTCTCCAGATATGCCTGATGAGTTCCTGGATCCTCCGCCAACGCTTCTGGGGAGAAAAGGAAGTGGAATCTATTTCTGGAGCGAAGTCTCCACCAAGCTGCCCATGTAGAAATTGGTTTGGTGTGAGCGGAACATCATCCTGTATGTGGGCACTCTGATATGTGAGTGGTCTTGAATTCAACAGAGCTTCAGCCCAAGTAAAAGCAGTCATCAGTTCTTCATCGGTGACATCACTTGAGCTGAGGACAGCATAAATAGCCCGTTTAGCTGACTTGATCATCGATTCGAATATACCTCCGAAGTGAGGAGCATTTGGAGGATTAAATCTCCATACAATGCCTCTGTTTGCCAATTTCGATTTTGTGATGTCAGAATCTAATGAAGTCACAAGCTCTTTAAGCTCTTTCACAGCTCCAACGAAATTCGTCCCGTTGTCCGATATGATCTCCTTGGGCATTCCCCTTCTGTGTGCCATGCGGAAGAGAGCATTCAAGAACGAATTTGTGTCTCGCCCAAAAGCGATCTCTAAATGTACAGCGCGTGTAGCTAGACATGTGAACAGGCACAGGTAACGCTTTTGACGGCTTTTACCTCGACCCTGTACAGTGAGAAATGGACCAGCGAAATCTACTCCCGCTTGAACAAATGCTCTCATTGAACAAACTACTCTCACCCTTGGAAGATTGCCCATGAGTTGTTGTGCTGGCTTTGCTTTTTGTTGTTTACACCAAGAACATGCATTTTCCCATTCACGAATTTCCTCCCTTGAGGATATTATCCAGAACTTGGAAGACAATGAAGCTAATGTGGTATTTGTTCCCATGTGGTGACACATTTCATGATGATGTTTAACTATCAACTTTGTCACTGGCCTTTTTCTGGGAAGAATAATAGGAAACCTTGCTTCCCAGGACAGGACTTCTGCAAACCTCAGTCTGCCATTTAATCTCATCACTCCTGTTTCATCCAGAAAAGGCTGTAATCCTATGAGTTTACTCTTAGGTGGTATTCTGCTGTCATGGTACAGTGCCCAATACTCTTTAGGAAATGCTTCCTTTTGATCTTCTGAAATTAGTTTTCTTTCAGCTCCTTCAATCTCTTCTAAGTCCAGTTCTTCTTTCCTTCTCATATCCTTTTGTGTCCGACAGTTACTGAGAAACCTGTAGACCCATGCAAAGACTCTGCACAGTCTTTTCCAGTCGGAAAACCTACATGGATCCAAACGCCATGTCTGATCAACATCTTGCACCATCATTGTCACTTTCATATTTGATCCAGTTTTCCTTTCCATCTCAACTTTCTGGAAAGCATGTATCTGTTTTGGCCATTGGCTTACATCAAGTTTTAAAAACTCAGGACCTTGTAGCCATGCTTTTGTACCTAGTGTTTCAGGTTTACAACCTTTTGTAAGTATGTCAGCTGTATTCAAATTAGTTGACACATGCATCCATTGGCTGGGTTTTGTCACTTCTTGTATAAAACCAACCCGATTGGCCACAAATGGCTTAAAGCTTCTACTGTGGCTTTTTATCCACCACAACACGTTCATGCTATCAGACCAGATCCTCGCATCATAAGGTGACATTTCAGGCCTTTTGCAATAGCAAGCAGAAGTTTCACCCCAAGAACCGCTGCCATCAACTCTAGTCGTGGGACACTGTGAGCCTTCAGTGAAGCAATATGACTTTTTGCAGCTACAAGTTGACTCGCTGTCCTGTGTTCATTAACACTCACCAGATAAATGACTGCACCAAAAGCATCTTGTGATGCATCTACAAACACATGTAGGCTTGGATTGGCTATTTCAGTTCTAAATTCAATCCATCTTGGGAAATATAAAGACTTCAAATCTGCCAATTCCCTATACCATTGCAAGACCTTTTCCTCTAAATCAGGATGCAGACTGTCATCCCAACCTACACCAGACACCCAAATGTGTTGCAATATTATCTTTGCCCGAATGGTGAATGGAGCTAACAGTCCCAAAGGATCAAATATCTTAGCAATCTCCCTCAAGAAAGCTCTTTTTGACATTTGAAAGTGATCATTTTTGATGTTGTAGCAGAATTGAAACCTATCACTCTCTGCATTCCAGAGCAAACCAAGAGCTTTCACTGATGGCAGTTCAGTCATCTGAATATTAATTTCAGATAGTCTATCTGCAACTGGAATACATTCAAGGACCTTCAATGAATTGGAGACCCACTTCCATTATTTTTGCATGCCTTAGCATGTTCCTGTGTAATATACTGTGCCAGAAATGAACAATTCATTCCGAAGACTACCCGTGAAAATTCATATACATGAGGTTCTTCATCCAGGTTCATTGATCTCCATAGAAATCTGAAGTACGATTGATCAGCTTCGGTAATCTTGATTTGCAAGTACATTTCTGCAATGTCGCATATGATTGCGATCGGATGTTTTCTAAATCTTAGCAATATTTCAACAAGATCATTTTGCAATTTCGGACCCTGATGAACAACATCATTTAAGGACACCCCATCACTTTTTGCTGATGCATCGAAAACCACCCTTACCTTCGTTGTATTTCGTTCAGGCCGGACCACTGGAAAATGAGGTAAGTACCAACATTTTTTGTTAACTTCTTTTTCAGGAACTTTTGTGATGTATCCTTTTTTCAGATACTGTGATATCACGTCCCCATATGCTGTCTGAGTTGTGACATCTTTGGATAACCTTTTCTCAATTTGTTTCAGACGTTTGAAAGCACTATCATAATTACTTTCAGGAAGCTTTGACTTGTCCTTCCATGGAACACCAACAGTGTACCTCTCTGAATCATAGGTAAGTGATTCTTTTACAGCATCCACAGCCAGTTCCTCATCTCGTGTCATAAAGGGCGTGTACCCTGAAATGGTTTCAACCTCCCAGAACCTATTTACTAATACTAATATTTACGTCCACCCCAATGGTGTTAGCCTTGCTATAGGATCACCAGGATGACCACAAACATCTTTGAGAGAACAATGAAGTTCCAAATAGTCCATTCCAATCAATTTGTCCACAATTGGTCTAGAACTCAATTTTGGAAACTCAATGTTACGCAAGTGACTCCAATCATTTGCATGTTTGTTCCAGTCAATCACTTTCATCATCCCTGTGACCTTTGTTGTAGTCAATGCTGATATGTTAATGTTCACTGATCCATCAACACTTTCTAATCCCACTTCAACAGCCATGCTATTAAAGGTTTCCTGCTTGCTGTTGAGCACATTCACTGATACGGTCTGTCTTTGACCATGCACACCTAACTCTGATGCTACGTCTTCATTGATATAGGTTTGTGTGCTGGCGTCATCCAGAAGAGCATTGACCTGTATTTTGCGAGTTCCATTTTTCAGTATAACAGGAATTGTCCTGAGCGAAGAAATGGATTTGAAACTAAAAGTGAAGTTGCCGTATGGTAACAATGTAAATGGGTAACTCTCTCAACTATTTCTATTCTAGTCTATTCTATTTCTGTAATATTCTAATTCACTATTTGCTAACTTAGAGAGAGATATTCATTTACTCCTTACCCATATGAATGCCAGAAGCCAACTGAAATAAACTGTTTCTAGAGCATGCGCATTTTGCGCTCATCCAGCAAGAAGCACGTGCTGCATGCCAACTTTAACGCTTTCCGCGAAGCTGTTGTGTACCAATGAGTCAACCACTGTGTCCAGGAACATGAGATTGTTCCCGGACACTTGTTCCCGGACAATTGTTCCCGGACGCTTCAGAACACACATCATGTTCTCACATTGATACCTGGAATTGGATACACACCTCACGTTCTGACATTGATACCTGGAACTCGGTACACACCTTACGTTGTCGCATTGATACCTGGAACTCGTTAACACATCACATTCTCGCATAGATACCTGGAATTGGATACACACCTCACGTTCTGACATTGATACCTAGAACTCGGTACACATCTCACGTTCTCGCATTGATACCTGGAACTCGTTAACACATCACATTCTCGCATAGATACCTGGAATTGGATACACACATCACGTTCTCACATTGATACCTGGATCTCGGTACACACCTCACACTGTCCCATTGATACCTGGAACTCGATACACACCTCACATTCTCGCATAGATACCTGGAACTCGGTACACACCTCACATTGTCACATTGATACCTGGAACTCGATACACACCCCACATTCTCACATTGATACCTGGAACTAGATACACACATCACGTTGTCACATTGATACCTGGAACTCGATACACACATCACGTTCTCACACTGATACCTGGAACTAGATACACTCATCACGTTGTCACATTGCTACCTGGAACTCGATACACACATCACGTTCTCACATTGATACCTGGAACTCGGTACACACCTCACATTGTCACATTGATACCTGGAACTCGATACACACCTCACATTCTCACATTGATACCTGGAACTCGGTACACACCTCACATTGTCTAATTGATACCTGGAACTCGATACACACCTCACATTCTCACATTGATACCTGGAACTAGATACACTCATCACGTTTTCACATTGATACCTGGAACTCGATACACACATCACGTTCTCACATTGATACCTGGAACTAGATACACTCATAACGTTGTCACATTGATACCTGGAACTCGATACACACATCACGTTCTCACATTCATACCTGGAAGTCGATACACACATCACGTTCTCACATTGATACCTGGAACTCGATACACACATCACGTTGTAACATTGATACATGGAACTCGATACACACATCACGTTCTCGCATAGATACCTGGAACTCGATACACACCTCACGTTCTCACATTGATACCTGGAACTGGATACACACATCACGTTCTCACATTGATACCTGGAACTCGATACACACATCAGGTTCTCACATTGATACCTGGAGCTCGATACACACATCACGTTTTCACATTGATACCTGGAACTAGATACACTCATCACGTTGTCACATTGATACCTGGAACTCGATACACACATCACGTTCTCACATTGATACCTGGAACTCGATACACACATCACGTTGTCACATTGATACCTGGAACTCGATACACACATCACGTTCTCGCATAGATACCTGGAACTCGATACACACCTCACATTGTCACATTGATACCTGGAACTCGGTACACACCTCACATTGTCACATTGATACCTGGAACTCGATACACACCTCACATTCTCACATTGATACCTGGAACTCGATACACACATCACGTTCGCACATTGATACCTGGAACTCGATACACACCTCACATTGTCACATTGATACCTGGAACTCGGTACACACCTCACATTGTCACATTGATACCTGGAACTCGATACACACCTCACATTCTCACATTGATACCTGGAACTCGATACACACATCACGTTCGCACATTGATACCTGGAACTGGATACACACATCACGTTATCACATTGATACCTGGAACTCGATACACACATCACGTTCTCGTATAGATACCTGGAATTGGATACACACCTCACGTTCTGACATTGATACCTAGAACTCGGTACACACCTCACGTTGTCGCATTGATACCTGGAACTCGGTAAACACATCACATTCTCGCATAGATACCTGGAATTGGATACACACCTCACGTTCTGACATTGATACCTAGAACTCGGTACACACCTCACGTTGTCGCATTGATACCTGGAACTCGGTATACACATCACGTTCTCGCATAGATACCTGGAACTCGATACACTCATCACGTTCTCACATTGATACCTGGAACTCGGTACACACCTCACGTTGTCGAATTGATAATTGGAACTCGGTACACACATCACGTTCTCGCATAGATACCTGGAACACGGTACACCTCACATTCTCGCATTGATACCTGGAACTCGGTACACACATCCGGTTCTCGCATAGATACCCTGAAGTCGATACACGCATCACGTTCTCACATTGATACCACGAACTAGGTACACACATCCCGTTCTCGCATAGATACCCTGACCTCGATACATGCATCACGTTCTAAAAATTGATACCATGAACCTGGTACACACCTCACGTTGTCGCATTGATACCTGGAACTCGATACACACCTCGCGTTGTCGCATTGATACCTGGATCTCAGTACACAC